CTACTGACAAACCTGCATCTTTAATAAGCCACAAAAAGGTCAATAAAAAGACTGAGTGATCTTCCATGTGGTAAAAACCCATATCATTTACATGTTTGTTGAAGAGATTCAATTTGTTACCTTGAGTGTTTTCGACTTGGCGATAAGGAGTATTTTTATGACTGCACGACACTCAGCGCCCTTAATTTGTTCGACAAGTGAGTTGAATTTTGCCATCCTCATCTTCCAGTGCTCCAGTTCTGCCATAGGACCAGTGTCATCTGCCTCCTTCCGCATTTGTTCACTTTCAGCTAACACCTGTGAGACAAAAACATTACATTTTCATTGTTACATGTGAATCAAACTATGAAAAAGGAGGAGAGTTGAGTTCATCCTAGGGCCAAGAGAGTCATAGACTCAGCATTTTCCATAGTTTCCTAACAGTTTCCTACTCCCAGGTGAACAGAGGCTCCAAAAGAACACAGCCAGAGCTTAAACCATGCAGACTCTTCTCAACCCAAAAGACCCCTTTTCAACAAGCCACTGCCTCAGTCTCTTAGACAAAATGAGACAAGGTGAGAGAAATGACTGCTTTGTTTGAATCCTTTTTTCAGAAAAGAGGTGTTTTGTTTATGTCAGCAGACTGAGAGGTATGAGGGAGTTATGAAGAACTTCTCTTACTTCTCCACACTAAGAGTTTTCTTTTTTCATGACAAATCTACAATATTTACAACAAGTGAAGAAAGCTATTTGATGTGGCTTTATGGTGGGGATACTGCGATCTAACAGTTATATTCCCCTAAATGAGTGCAAAGATTCCTCTTAGTTTTGAGAAGCTAAAATAACCAAGTTATCCTCACTGATTCTTTTAGGAAATGCTTGAGACAACTACTAGAGCAAAGGAAAATAAACATATGAAAATCATGTAGAGAAGGCTTGAATAAGAACTAACTTGTTCAATCTGTTTGCACCAGGAGTGTACCAGCTCATCCAGTCCAGTCAGTATATCTTGGTTGTTTGCTATGGCCTGATAGTCAGGTGGACCCTCTAGAGCAGTCACATCAATTAACTCACATGGGTGAAGAGTGATTGCTTCATTAAGTGCTGCATGAGCTCCTGCAATGGACAGATCAGTTAGAGGTTTTTTATATGCTAAACATATTAAGGAAAGCTGAAACACAAGGTAGTTTGGTTGGCAAAGGTGCACTGACAGTGTAAGCTGCCACACATAGCTGAGAAGATGGAGCCCCTTGGGACATTCATACCATTTGATTTCTTTATTTATCTATCCTAGTTATTATTAATCTATTCTTTCATTAATTTACATGTATTATCTATTTCTTATTTCATTTGATTAATTGATGTCTATCAGATTGGCCTTTTATTATGCATGAACTTGCTATAATTATTGCAACCATAGATCTGAGATACTAACATGACGTTCTAATGCCTTTTAGCACGGCTGCAGTGGTTTTACATATGAATTTGATTTGAATTTAATATTCATCCTAAAAGGTTGTTGTTAAGTTTTCTTGCCATTCATTTATCTCCTTCCCATCAATTACTGTAAATTAATTTCTTAGTATAATGTCAAACATAACAAGTCAACTACACTATCTAAGGAAGGGGGTGGTACATAATGAGGAATGTTGAAAAGTGTTACATGGCCTACATTTTGGCATTAAGCATCTCAAATATCCCACCATCAATAAAATGAACAAAGCCATCCAATGACTCAACAAACTGTGCACTGGCTTTTACTCCTTGTGGTGTCTTTTCCAGTTCTCCCCAGCTGGACATGGCTCTAATGGCTGGTATATAAATCTTTGTGAGATGTGTTCTTAGGGCTGGAATAAAGGATCCTGCTTCTCCAGCATTTATCATCCCAAAGCATGCCTCCTAAAAAATCACAATTACAATTTCCAGAAACAGTTTCTACAGTTTCTGTAAGTTTGTAATGAAGACAAACTGATACTTAAAAATTCATGCATTTTGACACCATCCCATGAAATGAGAGGACCTACAGTGCATTGACTGAAACTAGGCCCAGCAAGCAAGAATTTAAACCATGAACACTCTTTCATACACTGTTTGTTTTCATCCACATTTCAACTCTGACATTGACCCAATGGTCATTGAAAATAACATTTAATTCCTTAAAAAAAAAACTATTTTAACCCTGCAAAGCCAGAAAACACTATAAAACTCTGTTTTATGATTACTCTAATCACATAAACATCACCAGTCAGCAAAGAAGCTGAGACCCCATACTGTTTTGTATCTGAAATTTGGCTGAATTTAAAAATACTGGAATCTTTGGCTCAAATTTAGCCCTCTTATTTATTTATTTATTAAATCAAACCCCTGCTTTATTGGATATACTATACACTGGAACAAAAAAAGAATTTGTTCACAAGCTCCAGGAGAGTACTTACATCAGCAATGTTTCTCATCTTAAGCTCTTTATTTGCATCAGCCTTCACACAGTATACTAGGGTCCCAGTCAGTTTCTCTTCAAGACCACTAGTTACTAGCAGCACTGCTACTTTACCAGACTTTACAGTACGAGCTCGTACCTCTGTGTCTTGAAAAACAAAGTCAAACTGTAAGATTAAAACGGTTAATAGCACCACTTGGTGTAACAAAATAACCTTATAATAAATCATCTCAGAATTTCATCTCCTTATTCCATTAAATTGCTTTATAATTTCTAGTGGAGGTCCATGAGAATACTTACAACTTCTTCCCTCATGATCAACCTCCTGATAGAAAAACATTAATGATCTTCTTCCCTTTGGCTTTAAAAAGCTGTTTATCAAGTAAACTGCCTAGAGAAAAAGAGACCAAATCCTTCTTTAGTCATGAAGTTGTTGGTTTGTTTCTCAAGTTAGTAATCCTAACTTAGGAAGAAGTTAAATTTCAGTCAAAGTATTGCCCCAATTGTGTTTCTGTCCAAATTCTCATTGTCCACAGCTTTTTGAGTTTTGGGTCATTTTAGTCTCCATTACAGGAACCATCAACACTGAATATATTGACAAAAGAAAAAAGGGGGAAGGAAGAGGTGTGGGAAGTTACAATTGAAAAAAACCACTAAAAATAAGATCAGGATTGTTGAGGAATGGCTGTTACCAAATCTGCTGGAGAACACAAAGATTCCAGCTTAATTTGAAAAAAGATACCACCTTCCACATGAGCCTGTATATGCACGTATTTGTGACCATCACTGCTCTTAAACCTTACTCCACTTAACTATCATTTCACTAAACCTCATGTTGTGAACATGTTGTTTGAACCTGACAATTATTAAGGACCACTAAAACATTCAAGAGGGCAGAGGTAGATTCAACCCCAGAGAGTGAAAAATCACTCTTTTGAAGTTGATCACACGTACATACCTTTTTTTACCAACATCAGGAGCCCATTACCCAGAGCTTTCAACTTCCATACTTACCTTCTGCGTCAACCCTGTCCCATATCTTTTTATGAGGCACCTTCCACAGGGTTTTTCGCATGTGTTTACATAATAGCAAATCATAAGAGAGCTGTGGTCATCTATTGTTTATGTCACATGCAGGTCACATGGAAGTATATCAATAATGGCAAAAAGCACGGAAAGTCAGCGTGTTTTCACAGGAAATTAAAGAACCCATCTCATATCTCAGTTCTAAAACTAAAAAGATATGGGACAGGGTTGACTGAAGGGTGCAATTGGTTTGGAAGCTCTAAGTAATGAGTCCCTGCCAATGTATACTGACAAAAAAAGAAAAACAACTTTTGATCGACATTTATCTACATAAAGAAGGATATCTGTGACATCGTTTCAATTGGTTGTGTTGCCATGGCAACAACACAAAGAAGCTTACGCATGTACTGTTAAAACCTTTCATTATTCCAACTTAAGCTTTCAAGCGTCAGCGTTTTCATGAAAACCATGGAAACAACATTAAGATACCTGAAATAGAGTACTTTTACCTCTCCTCTCATTTTATTGCGAAAGGAATCACAGGATTAAGGGTAAAATCTTGCGGAAAGAGTTAAACTTACCTCTTCTGAATCAAGTACGAATTCTTCAACTGCAGACACATCCAGATCTACGTAGCCTCCAACGATTCCCATGAGAAATCTGTACTCGTCCGTTATCATTCGCTTCCTTGCTTCACGGTTTTCTCTCACTTTTTGCTGTAGAAAATGGTTCACACGGCTTACAAAAAACTTCACAAGCAGGTTAACAAGATTTATAATTTCTTTGATCTTAAAAGTTGGCAAATGACGAATGGGGGTAAACTGAAATTGAAGCAAAAGAGTAAAAAAAAAAAGATTCCCTTCTATTAATTTTTTCCACAAAACGCTCTAAGTAAGTAGTTTTTTCATTCTGTTTTAAGATTTATTTGTTTAGATTCGTACCTGCCTTTCTTTAACAGTTTCGCCAGTCAAGGGATGAGCGAAAAGCGAAGTACCGGTACTACCTTTCAGAGAACTTCGCCTGTTTCTATCAGCTTTTGACCCACCAGAATGCTCCTGGGATGCACCACCGGCACTTTTCTTCGAACCTTTTGAATCCTTGACACTCGGCATTGTTCTAGTGTTCACCCACTTTCAGGGTTCAGCCGTGCTTTTTCTTGGACGCTCTAACAGTTCTGTAAGTTGCAAGCGCTCGGAAAAAACGGCTCAAATCCGACGAATTCCTTTCCTAATTCGAATTGAAAGTAATCATGAAACTATCGCGTTATTTCATATCCATAACAGATTAAAAAAAAAGGTTTCCCCTCAGTATCCTCTAGGTTTTCTCGGAACAAAAATCCTCACTTATCCGCGAAAATTTTTGAACTGCAAATTTGCGTAATAGTTTTTTAACCAATCACATGCTAGAAAAATAAGCTATCAATCATTTTGTTGCTTAGATACATATTATGACATTTCGCGTCCATTTCGCGGGTCTCGCGCGATTGCATATCTAACGTCTAATCAACGCCGCTTCGATCAGGCATCGGTCAGCGGTTATCCTCAAAGGTACAAAAGCTTTGAGATTTTAGATTGCCCAGCGTTTAATTAGGACTTTCAAGACGCGACAATCTGGAAAAGATAATCGAAAATGATCTACAGAATGATATATCCGTTAACTGTTAATTCTGTCATGTCCTGTGTGACATTTTTTGTAGCGTTGAAGTTAATTTCAGGTATGAAATCGCTGTTCCTTAAAGCTGGGCTATGCGGGAAAGACCTCAACAAGAAAGACAACAAGGAGAAAGTGTAAGTCTTGAGAGATCTTATTTCGGGGCTTGGGCTGATAAGTAATGGAGATCTAGAGGTTATCACAAGAGGATAATTCCAGATGCTGTATTCCTATGGCTTACTCATGTTGCATGGTGATTCGCCATGCAATTAATTAGTCGTACTCCAATTCAAACAATACGAGCACTTGTTATTAAATCACTGTCTATCCTCGTGATTAGAGAGTGGAACAGTTTTTTTAAGATGACTCCGAAGTTTTTACTTAATTATCATAGCCTTATTGTAATCTATACTTGCTGTAAAACCTTTTTTTGTAGATTTCTGTTCATCAATAAATTAATACATTTTTTGGTAATACAGCTGTGTTGATCTTTGTCAAAAATCAAAACACTTTAGTCCAAATTATTCTTCCTTTAATAATTCTACGTCTTTAACCCCCTTTTAGTATTCAGAGGTGCTTATGGGTACTCTTCAGTATTCACTGCGTCTGGCTCTTGATAAGTGATTGATATCTTGGAATTAAGATGGTGATAATTCTTTGTTACTATGGTGAAAGTAATCCAGAAAAGGTCTGTTATTGGCAGCATTGGCAGTCACTACTACCAAAAACAGTTCCTTTCAGGACCATTTCACCTGCAAAGTTGGATTACATGATCAACTGTTGCTTCAGTGTTCCAACCATTTACTTCATCAATAATGTTGCCAAAAACTGTTGTGAATATTTTTCCTATAGATCAGGACATGGTTGTTTAAAAGGTGGATAACACAATCCACTGGATAAATCCATATCGAGTGGATAGCTCAGTATGTTTTATTAACATTTATATGCTGGATAACGATTTATCCATTGGATAGAATTATTCACCCTTTATACAACTGTACCCAAATGTTTATTAGTAATTAATGTACATGTATGTTTTAATTCCACAGTGCAGAGGGTTTAGGAGTTGTTAGTGGAGCAGTATTTCTTATTACGATGTTTTTATTCATCCCAATCCCTTTTCTCTCTATTTGGTTTGAGAAAGGTGATTATGATTTTCCACATCATGAGGTGAGTTTATCTCATAAATGTGAGGGTATAAGTAGCTTCTCCTGCTTATAAAAACATTGTATACTCTATAAAACATGTCTTTGAGCAGGTTATGCAATTAAGAGGAACCATGTGTCAAGCTGTTTGACTTTATTACCATTGTTCTGTTACTGAGAATTACAGAAAATTGTTTGGTCAAAATTTGTCCTAAAACTTGCTTCTTGATCCTCACAACAGTGAAGATATGAAAATCAAATTTCAAGTAAAGACTGTCAACTTTCCCAATTGTCTGGTGCTGTTTGAGATTTAATCACAGTCTACAAGAAAATGGAATTGAATTTTTGGGGTTCCTCATCTTACAAGGTTCTTTACCTATGTGTGGATTATTTTAACCAACATTACTGTTCCTTAAATAGTTTGTCATGTTCATCACTGGCCTTCTGTCCATCTGTTGTATGATCTTCCTGGGATTTGCGGATGATGTTCTTGATCTCAGGTGGCGAGACAGGCTTCTTCTGCCGGCAATGGCATCTCTTCCCCTCCTCATGGTCTACTGTGTCAATATTGGTGTTACAACAATCATTGTACCAAAACCCATCAGATTCATTTTTGGCTTTGATGTAGATCTAGGTAAGGTTATATAGTTATGCAGCACAGTTTTGAATTATGGCCTCCTAAGTCAGTTGGTTTAATACTTTTGTGATTTCTGTGACCTGTGAGAGCTCAGTTATTGTACAAAGCATTATGTAACTCAAGAATAAAAAGAAATAAAAACTATTTAAAAGAATAAACACATGCTTCCATTTTATTCTTCAGGAATATTATACTATGTTTATATGGGAATGTTGGCAATATTCTGCACAAATGCAATCAATATCTTGGCTGGTATCAATGGTGTTGAGGCAGGACAGTCGCTCATCATTGCAGTCTCCATTTTGATGTTTAATTTCATTGAGCTCCAAGGAACTTGTTGTTGGCAGGCTCATTTGTTCTCAGCATATTTCATGATGCCTTTCATTGCCACATGTTCAGCATTACTTTATCATAACTGGTGAGTTGTTGTCTGAATTAAGTGAGAACTGCTGAATTTAACCCTTTCACTCCCATGAGTGTGCAAGACAGAATTCCTCCTTAATCCTCTAACTCCCAAAATCTTATTAGTAATTCTACTCACTGTCTACCATAGAATTCTTAGGATGTCAATTTGGAGAGTGGTATTGGATCAACTAATGATCCCCAAATTAATATTTTTCTTTATTCTCATCACTTCTATGCTTGATATTGAATTATAAAATAATTCAAATAGTGTGCGCACTCTGATTGGCCATAAAACCATTTTACTGAGCGTATGTAAACATGGTTTTCGTTCATCTTTCATTAGTTATTTTATAAAAGAAATGTAAAATGGTTTCCGTGTTTACATAGCCTGATGTAAACATGTGGGAGGTTGGGAGAACACTTGATAGGCTGGAAACCACTTCGCTTCGCGTCGTGGTTTCCTACACTTATCTCGTGTTCTCCCAACCTCCCATGTGTTTACATCAGGCTATGTAAACACGGAAACAATTTTACATTTCATTGATATTATAAGGAGAAATTCTGTCTTGGTCACTCATGGGAGTTAAAGGGTTAAAATATCAATACAGCACCTATCATCCTATCATCAATGAGAATGAAGAAAAATAGCAATTTGGTGATTATTAGTTGACCCAATATCAAATTCTCTGAATTAATATAATAAGAATCTTATAGCTGATAGTCAGGAGAATTACTGGGAGAATTTCACTTTCTGTCACCATTACTGTCCAACTCCAAAAACCATGAACACCTGAATTATACACACTATGTGTTACATTGTATTATGACCAATCCTAATGGAGACCAAGGCATGCAAAATCACCTTCAAACCACAAACTAATTGGCAATACTCCACACAGGTCAGTTTTTCCACATCTTATTGGCTTTCTCTGTGACACCAGAATTTGTCCCTTGTCCATAGTCTTCTGAATTATAAATTACTGTAATGCATATATTGTATTTTTTTTAAATCATTTTTCATTTGACATGTTAAGTGTTTTTAAGTTACAAGTTCAAGTCATCCTTACTACCTTTCCCAGAAATAAACTAGTAAAACTTTAAATCAAGAATAAAAGTGAACCACAACACATCTTTCTTATATTTTTCCAATATTCCATTTTAGGTACCCATCCTCTGTATTTGTTGGAGACACATTCTGCTATTTTGCGGGAATGACATTTGCAGTAGTTGGCATTTTAGGACACTTCAGTAAAACAATGTTGTTGTTCTTTATTCCACAAGTTATCAACTTTGTTTACTCAATTCCTCAATTGTTTCGTTTCATACCATGTCCAAGACATCGACTACCAAGGTGAGTTTGAAAATGTAACAAGTAGTTAGACTATAGCTGAATCCAGGGCTTTAAAACTCCTAAGATCCAATTAATGACCCTCCCAATTGACTGTTACATGTTTACACTTAAATAGGACAGGAGAAATCTATTTTAAATCAAGAAAACACTCTCCAATTGACATTAGCATCTCAGTTCTCATAACTTCTTTGGAAGATAATGTATTGGAATGGTAATGAGAAGTTATAAGCTAATCACCTCTGGGAATAAGGGTTGATATGGATCATGTGAAATTCTAATTAAGTTTAGCAAGTGAAAAGTTTAGCGTCTGAAATGTGCCAAAGTTGATGATTATAAAATTTTACTTCATTTACATTGTATCACTCATTTATTATTGATTAACTTTTTTCTTTTATAGGTTTAACCCAGACACTGGTTTGCTAGGAATGAGTTACAGTGTGTTTAAAATGTCTGACCTTCATCCGCTAGGGAAACTTATACTGTCAGTGTTCAGCCTTCTAAGATTAGTTACAGTGGAGGAAGGTGTTGGTGAAGACAAAAAATCTACGCGTGTTAACAACTTGACACTTATAAACTTTGTTATCAAAGTGCTGGGACCCTTACATGAAAGAACATTGACAATAATAATCATGGGAATACAGGTAAAATTATTAATTAAAAACCTCTCTCAGTATCTATGAAGGACCTCTTTACAGTTTTGCTCAAGGCCACGAAGTGTGAACCAAGGGCACTGAAGTCCATACATTAGGACTGAGAGCCGAATATTAATTTTGCTTGTTCCACTCAAGTTTACTCAGTCAGTAAACATTTTCATTACAAGCCTAACTCTCTTTCTCTGTCTCTTTTTTCTGGTTTAGTTCCCTTCTTGTAGAGCCATGTGGCTCTTTCCAACCTGCTTGCTTCAAGGTTAAGCCCTAGTTGTACCTGCCAGTCATTTTCTATAACAAGTTTCTATTGTTATTTTTTTTCTACGTTGCTGTACAATTATCACAAAGGGATATCATATCATAAGTCCTCTTCAAATATTAGCAAAGAGTTTTAGAAACAAGAAAACATGTTGAGGACACTTCTTGGGGGAACATTTACAGGTTTGAACAACTAGATAGAGAAACTTGGCAACTTTTCCAGAGTTCTTTTTCATGCTTTTTTTTCCTGTTTTCTTTTTGAGCAATTGTGCCTGACCTCATTGATGTAAAATAAAAGAAATACCCTCAGATTTATTAAATTGCAATAGAGAAAAATCTTCCAAGCCTTAACGTTTTGTTAAACAAGTCAGGTATATTGTGTTTCCTTCATGGGGAACAATCAATCAGAAACATTTTTGCACATGTTTATGGTGTGTGTAGATTATAACCTCTGTGATATAATTCACATCACAAATATACAGAGATCCATGCAGCCAGCTAATTTTGAGTTCTTTTCTTTGCAGATTTGTGGAAGTGTTATTGCCTTTATTATTCGTTACCACCTTGTGAGGTTTTTTTATGACATTGAGCAGCATTGAACTTATCTTTGATTTTAGTGTTATGAACCTTTTAACTCCCTTGAATGACCAAGAGAGAATTTTTTCTTTACAATATAAGTGCAATATCAAGCAGACTAGTGATGAGAATAAAGAGTAGCATCAATAAGAGATTATTAGTAAATTCATTACCAAATTTTCCAATTAACATCACAAGAACTATATGGCAGACAGCAATGAGAATTACTAATGAGATCTTGGGAGTGAAAGGGTTGATAATCAATTCATAATAATAATGGAATAGTTATTTGTTATGCTTGAAAATTAAAAGAAAGAATGCCGATCTGTATGCAGATTTAAAAAGCTTTTTTATAGTTATTTCTGTAAAAATTTTGTACATTAACATGATAATTGCATGTGACAATCAGACACAATTATTTTAAAGATTAAAAAGCTCATGATGTCACCAAATTGTTTAGTGCTCCTATGGAATAAACCCTTATTTTAAGCCTCAAGAGTGACTAACATTTAATTTCTCCTTTTGGTTTCTCCCCTGAATCAAACATTAAAGTCATGAGAAGAGAGAAAATGATCGCCAACTAAAGCAGATCAAATTCTCCTTGTCAGCACCTTAAGAAATGTATACAGAACAGTATGGAGAGTATAGATTCTGATGTTGGGGTGTAGAGGGTTAACTGCTGATTGAAATTTTTTTGCTCTAAGATTTAATTCCCAGACTGTGTTGTGCCTTGAAGATACGTCTGTAAACTTTTTTTCCTATCACACGCACACAATAAAAAAACAACAACAAAAGCAGCATCAACAAATGTACATGCAATTTCACTTCGAGCCAGCATTCACTAGAGACAGACTTGGAATTGAAGTGGTAATCAGAGTAGTATGATTTAGTGAAAATCCAACCAACAGAATTCGTAGCCAAATATCTATGCTGCAATGACTCTATTGCTCTTGAAATTAAGGTGAAGTTTTTATATATTTGTGGACACTTCTCTGACTTTCTCTTTAAATTTTATTTAAAACTATTTCATTGGGATTTCAAAATAAAAAGTCCACAAAAAAAGACAACTTCCTTTCCCATTAAAATACTTTATTTAGACTTAAGCAACCTTACCCCAAACCCATATGAATACAATTTAAATGCTTCCATCTTTGCATGTGATTAAATACATGTACAAAACATGGTCTTATGTAAGTTATAGAAAATTTCTTTTGAACAGGAACAGGTATATCTCTAACTCTTTCATTTGTTTTTTGTATAAATCCCTTAGTTATCTTTTTAAATATATTTGTTTAATTAAGCTAAAAAAAAACAACAGGAACAACAACAATGAGGGCTCTTAGTAGTTCACAGGGAACAGTACATGCTGGGATGTGTTTTGGCACAAGAGAGTCCTTAAATGCACCCATTGTCTTGTGGCATCCACAGTAATTTCACCTGCTACCTGTCAATAATGTCCTTTAGTTGAGCCTTAATCTTCAGGAAGTGACGCTTGAAATCTAAACCATCACCCTGAGAGGAAAAAAATGTCCAGAGTTAGCCACAGAATGTTTTAGTACTGTAACAGTAGAACCCCTCATAACTCAAACTCCCAATGGAAACATAAGTTGGAGTTAGCAGGAGTTCAAATTAGCTGATAGTATAGTGTACCATCCTCTTACCATTTGCCACATAGAACCAAAATTTTTACAAATCTTTGAAACAGTTCTCATTGTATTCATTTTTCTTAATTCTACAATATCAAATTTATTTACCTTGGATAATCTGAAGTCTACCAACAGAGAGGGATGCATATCAATGAGGTTTACTTTAACACTCAGTTTATTTTGTCGTCTGTCAGTTGTCAATATTGTGACCTACAGTGTATTAAAGAAGAGGAAATTGTTTAAGTTGATTTTTTCCTAGGAACACATTTTTCCTACTGTATGGGTAAAGATAAGAAATTTACTATACAAGAGTCTTCATCAGTAAAACATTTCATTTTGCTCTCTAGCAAAAACAAGGGCCATGAGAAAATTGTGCTTTGCTGGTCTAACATTATTCTTTCTTACACTATCTTGCAAGATGATCAAACCCTTTGATTCCTAACATCACCCAGCATCTAATTTCTCCCTACAATATCAGCCCTGAATCACACATCAAGGTCAAGAAATTAAAGGAAATGATCACTGACTAAAGAACCTCTTGATTGTTGAAAAAATTCTTCTGTTAGCACCTCAAGAATTGTATGGAGAACAGTATGGAGAATATGCATGCTGATGTTAGGGTGTAAAGGGTTAAGGTGTATCTCTTTACCTGACGAGGAGAATTCACAGTAAAGCTATATTTAAGTTTGTCCAAGACTTCCTTTAACTTGTGAAGTGTCTTGTCTGCACTCCTCTTTGTGTGGAAACGAGTCATACGCTTAACCAGACTCTGGAATGGACTCTAAAAGGGAGCAGTAAAGAAATGTGTACTCATTAAAATCATTATTGTCATCTGGTTGTTAAAAATATAACTTTTGCCTTGACTGATTTGTGCCCGCAGGGCAACTTTTAACCATATAGTGTTATTATTCATGTGAAGGTACTTGTTCAAGGTCTCTAATTAAAGAGGTGTTTGCATTGGCTGCTACTGCAAAACATCAGATTAGACAAATGTAATATGTAAAAAACATTTTATCTTTACCTGTGATGTTCCAGGAGTAGACTGCATCTGTGTGCTTAGTAACATGTGATCCAGATGGACAGGCTGTGAGAAACACAATCCATTCACTGTTGCCTCGTCATCAACAAGCTCCAATGCACCACTCCCAATACCACTGTCCAGTCTGCGGGGCTCAGGCTGAGAGGCAGATATGTGATCCCTAAAGAATGCAAGGGAAAGTCTTGCAAGCCTAGTTCACAGAACACTCACAAAAGAAGCTTATCTGGATTTTGGAAATGTGAGAAACCACAAATTTTATGACACAGAGTTTATTTTCAGTGACAGTTGTTAGAACCTTTTTATACTCGTGGGCTTGGTTGCCCTAAGCTAATAGTAAAGCTGTCCAGAAAACTACACATGTATCTTGCCATGGCAGTGAGATCTGCATCAGTATTGATTACACTTTGAACAACTTAGTGCAAAGAAGTTTTGCAAATGACAGAAAGTGTTTTGCCTAAAACACATGCACATTATGAGTATCCAGATGAGAGCTCACATCCAAACTTCTTGATCAAAAATTTGCCATGCTAATCATTGCTTTTAGCATAAATGCTGCACATCTGTCTGGAAAAATATTTACCAAGGACAAAGTAGGAATATAATGATATGGCTAGTCACAGCACAGTACTCACTTGTATCTTTTTGGTCGTTGTGGAGAAGAAACATCTGCTTCAGTACATCTTCTCTTAAATGTTCCTGTACCTGTGGGTGTGTTCCCTGGAGAACACCCTTAAAAACAGAAAGATTTACACATTTGAATTCCAATAACTCAAACCCTTGATAACTAGAACCTTGCGCTTACACGAGCCAAAAAATATTTCCCCTCAATTTGCGACATACATTTTCAACAATCTTACCCTCAGTATTTCAAACCCTCGATAACTCTAACCTCTTGCTAACTCAAAGCAATTTCACTTGTGAGATGTTGCTAAATCTGGTCAGAAATATTAAAAATTTTAAGGACATTCACTAACCATCTCTTGGACTTCTTGATGTACTTATTGATCTAGAGGTAAAATAAATTGAAAAAGGACTCAATAAATTCATTTTACATTTGGCAAGATGTTCATTTAAACTTGAGGAATTTAACCCTTTGCTCCCCAACATCAATATGCATGTTCTCCATACTGTTACCTTAACATTTCCTATGGTACCAACAGGGAGAATTTGTTTGATAATAGAGAGCATCTTTATTTGGGATCATTTCCCATTTTCTCATATCCTTAATGTTTGATTCAAAGGTGATATTGTAAGGAGAAATTTGATGCTGGTCACTTGAAGGGATTAAAGGATTAAAGCATAAAAGCAAATCATACAGACAGCCTTACCTAGAAAACCATCGTTCTTTCTTTATTTGTGGTATTGTTAACCTCCTTTTAGCATTTTCCACAAGAATTTCTGACAAGAAATCTACAGGTAAAAGAAAGGTATACATGCAGATGTCAACAGAGGACACCAACCTACAAAGGATAACTTAAACAAAGATGTTTTTTCGTCTTGTCACAAGCGTGGGACAAAGAAAAATTCTGAGTCTCCACGAGGAATTGAACCTCAGACCTTCAGATTGCATGCTCCCATGCTCTAAGCCCATTACAAAGTTCCAATAAGAAATGCGTCCAGCATACTGCTAGGATCAGCAATTTCAATAATGTCATGTCTTGTAAATAGAATAAGAGAGAGTAAGAGTAAGTTTTAAGCTCAATAAAGAAATAGAGAAAGATGTTCTTTGTCTTGTCACAAGTGTGGGACTAACATGATCAATAACAAGGAACTGAAAAGAAACACTTACTGTACTTCATCAGTGAATAGAGATTGACCAATCACATATTTATTACCAATAATACTTTAACCAAACAGCTTATCACATCACAGAACAAATGACTACACAATTAACAAGAACAAATGTTTAAAATCCAACTTAAGAACAACCCTCATCTCTGATTATGACTTCAGTTCTAGCTGTCTTATTACCATTCAGTTACTTTCACCCATGCTCTTGACCCTTTAATTCCCAGATCACATTTGAAATTCTCCTTACTGTCAACCATACAATTCGTATAATATTAGTTCAGAGAATTTAGTATTGGATCAACTAATTATTCCCAAATTTATATTTTTCTTTATTATCATCAGTTATCCGGTTGATATTGTATTGATACTGTAAGGAGAAATTCTGTGTTGATCATTCACAGAAGTTAAAGAGTTAACCTCCACCACTACATTTTCCACACATGTGTTTATGCATAACTTTTACTTCCACACTTGAATTTGTAACTTCATAATAAAAATGAACAAACCTAATGACTGTGGGTCCATTTTGCACCAAGGTGTCCTGTTTACTCTGCCATTGAGCCAGTCATTATACTCTTTGTTTGATTTTGTTGGTTCATCCCATGGAAGCTCTATTTTTGATAAAAAATTCAAATACATTCACAAAGATA